CTCTTCATGTCAGCTGCCAGCCCCCCTAGTCTCGCAAACAACTGCCTTTCGCTACGCCCGGAATGTGGCGCACGTAGTCAAACCATGTGTCGTGTGACTTGCCACTTCTTCAAAAATTCGAGTCTCCTTAGTGCAAGTCATAATAATCCTTTTAATTCCTTAAGGCAAGTAGTGGTGCACGAGATGGCACAACAATCCTGGGCAAGTTGATCTTGTTCATCAGAGCCAGGTTTAGCTCCTAAGTTTGCATTGGCCATGGATTGCCACATCGCGCGAAAAGCCCCAAGCAGCCATGTTCGGGAACTGCACGACTTGGAAAGTAGACTTGCCCTCCAGATGCTTTGCCAGCCCAGACCCTGCGCTTGGGGATGCGGCAATTTGGCAATCACACCATGTTTCGCAAGAGTTTGCGAGGCTCATTCTGCCAAAGTCTCCTACTCTATGGTGCTGCCTAGCCAGGTTCAACATTACCTGGGACGAAGCGCTGCAAAAGACTGTTGCTCAATGTACTGCTTATGCGCCTACTCACGAGAATCGGTCAAGGACCTGAATCTATGCCCTAACTTCACGCCCGTGAAGCACCCTGATGAGCATGTAATCCTCCCTTGGTCGTGAAACTACCACTAGCCACAACATGTCATTTTGGGCTATTAAGGTGCCTCCAACCCTGTTGGTGGTTCAGCAGAAGTTCGATCAGTACACGCCACGCAAACTGGACTACGTTTTCATTATGCGTGCAAGCCACTCACAGTCACTAGGACTGGGTGGCTGGGAGCCGGAGAATCAAGATGGAGAGAGCTGGCACAAATCACGCCTCTTCTGTCCTGTCTTTTGCACTGTATCCCTACATGGTAGGTAGCCAGTAGGGCATTTGCCAGCTTCAACTTGCAAAAGCTCCAGTGAGCCCTGAAGGCCTTGATCTGACCCTGCCGTCAGTCTGACAAGAGCATGTGTCTATCAGTTAGATAGCAGAAACCCGGCTGCTTTGCCTTCTGCACTGTGTAGCTGCGTCTGACAATGAGGCGAGATTTATGCAGCAAGGGCGCGCGGGACCAGTTGAGCTCAAAACTGGCCACTGGCTCCACCTTTCGCCAGCCCTCGCTGATCGGATCAATAACCATAAGGAGTATATCTAAAACTGATAACACGCGTGCGTTTGCGGGCCCACATATCCTGTATGACCTGTACGTCGTCAACCACACACACATACGCTTACCTAACCTTCCTTGCATGCAGGCATGCATACATACATACATACATACATACATACACATACATACATACATGCACCCAAGCATCCATACCTGCATCACAATACATTACTTTAAACTGCCATATGACATTCATAAATTCCATATATATATATAGATGGAACTACAAAAACACATACTTTCATTAGCACAGTACTACGCGCACCATACACGATAAGTCCATGTGACACGTACATTCAACACATTCAGCCGTTTGACACACCTTTGATACATAGGTACATACATGCACACAAAAAAAGCGCCAACTGCAAATATATGCATAGTGCACAGTATATGCACGTTCATACCCATTTCTGTATGGCTATCTTTGGCTCTCTCCGGTCTCTTTGTCTTTGTTTGTGCACAGGTGTCTTTCCGAGCTTTCTGTGCCCTTCGAAAGGCCAAGCAACCCAACAATTGCTGAAGTTATGCCTCGGATTGGAATATTGCACGGAAGCTCATGATGACTGAAAACCAGGATGCCCTCGAAGTGGCTGACCGCTGAGAATCAGTATGAAGCGCTGCCCCAAAGCTATCAGCCATGTGTCTTTAAACGAGTTTATCTCATCCACTTGTTTGCTTGCGATTCTGTGATGCACCTCAACTCCACCGAACGTTCCTTTGTGCAGCGCTCACACCGAGGCGGCACCACGAGCTCAAGCATTTGGTGCAAGCTCAAAGCAGCCCAGACAAGTCCGTCTGCGGCCTTCACCCCCAGGAGTCCGAGCAAATGCTCCTTGGCCAACCCCAAGCAATCATAGAATCATGCAAAGTGAGCCCTCTTGAAAAACATCCTGAGCGGACAGCTGTTGTCTGCAGCGCCCTTTTGTAACAGTTACAACATGCCTATTTGGAAAGTTGCATGCTTGCAATCAATCAGTGACGAGAGGCTTTGGCGCTAGTCGCCCATGCCTGCGGCATCCGCTTCCCAATTCAATGCACTCCAAAGGACGCCATCCTTGGATACAAGAAGAGAAATCTGAACAAGTAGAACTTTTTCTGACGCAGCCACAAGGTTTTCACGAAGTACGCCTGTGAGACTACAGTGGCTACAGTCGTCTTCGGAATCTACGCCCGCACCAGATGGACCACATCAGGCTGCAAAGCATCGGCCGGCTGTGTATGCTTTGGAGGCTGAGGCGGGTCCGTTGACAGGCGGGCCACGCGCACCTGACAAAGGCAGCTGAGCATTGCCATGGTCACCGCAATTCTGGAGTTTAAATGTGCTTGGGTGACATCCTGCCTTATATGCACCCTCATCTCGGAAGGCCAAACAGGGTGTCAACCGCTTGCCTCAGTGAAATGCAGCGGGATTTTACCTGCTGGAAGTGAGTGAATTGAGGCCTTTGAAGCATGAAGGAACCGCAAGCATGCCCAAACAGCCCAGCTGCCCTCGGCCCAGGACCTCAGTGGAAAGGCCCTGCAAAGACAGCATCACTTTTCACTTCCTACTGAATCTGACCCGCTACGCGAGAAACCTCCCTTAGTTTCTATAATCCTGGGTCGCGGGCAAATCGGTGATGAATCCTGTGCACTCCCAGGGTCCTAGCTCTTCTGGCTCCTGCCAACATGCAAGTGTCAAATGTTGAAATTGCATGCACTCTCTTCTCCGAACTTCGTTTCATGCAGCGTTTCAAGGCTCCTTGGGCGGCGTTTGTGGCTGCGTCTCCTGCTCCTCTATCTCATTCTGAATTATAGACCTTGCATTGGCACAGCGTGGCATGTAAGTACAAGCTTCTTGGCCACGGCAAGCTTGCCTCCTGAAAAATGCCAATTGCCCGCTGAAGATGTACACGCCAACTATTCCCTGGAACTTGCGACCTGCCAGGTCAGCCGCTTAGCAACCGCTGCATTGGATGAAGGCCAGCAAGTCATTTGATTCAACAGTTCTTTTTATTGTGGGGCACTTTGTGCCATGTTGCTGTTGTGTGAAGAGTCTACACTCAGGACTTCCGGTGAATGGTGAGCGTACGATTCAGCAAGCACTACCGTCATCAAAACTATTCCATGCGATAGCCTGCAAAACTAAGCGTTGCTGATTTACTTGCTCCGAATCATAGAGCTGCTCGATATGCCAGTTCTTCATCTGCGCCATCCTTTGATACAACCCTACGCATCCTGCTTCTGGCCTGGTCGAGTTGTAGAGAGTGGTTGGATATATGCACCTGGAGTGTCAGGTCAAGTGTTGGATTGACCGAAGCTGCTGTTGCTGCTGCTATTGTTGTCGCGCCACCGGCTCTTGAGCTTGTCATGGTACAAAGCCTAATCCGCGGGCTAATGCCGGGCTGGGGACAATGCCCGTTTGTGTGCTCATGTATGCTGAAATTTCGCGAGAAGCAAAACACAACATGAATGACAGAACCGCAGTTGAAGACAACTTGTGCCAGTAAGAGCATAACAGCATTTCGCTGGTCTTCTGCCCAAATAAGTTTCGAGGCAGAACGGGGCAGCCCCCCGAGCAAGTTTTTGAGTGGGTTCTGGTGCTGGTGGGGATACCTGCCGGGATTATCTTGTATAATGCGACCCCGGGCTCAATTGCCTACATCAGCAGCAATTGAACAAGAAGAAGAACGAAAAGCCGGACCACCAACGCCAACGCCACAGCAGCTGCAGTAGCATCTGGGGCAGGTTCAGGCAACAGCAGCAATGGCAGCAGCAATAACCAGCACCATGCAGGTTCAAACGAAAAGGCAACACAAAGAATCACGATGTCGATGCTCTCAGCACAAGCTTTTCTGCAGCTCCTCTTGGTGCTGGCCACCTGGTCTCTCTGATCTGATGCTCCAAGGCTCATCGGTCTTGGTGCAAGGGACCGCCATGCTTGGGCGATCAAGCCGAATCCAAAGCTGACTCGTAAACCAGCTGTTTTTTATGCTGGAATGCTGAAGGAAAAATGATTCAGCTCAAGCATGACTTGAAAGTTGCCAGTGCAGCCGTCAACTGCTTCGGATTGCAGGATTTTCGCACGGACTGACTGGCTGCGTAATATACAGCTGCGCAAGATGGGATTCCTCAATCCCATCTAACCTCAGCAGACATCACGAGGACATCTGCAGTAATTGCACCTCTGGCCGACAGCAGCAACAGTCTGGCTCAAGTGATCTTTCCGGCATTTCTCTTGTTTCGTCTTCTCGGGCTCATGCCGGCTGGGCAAGAGGCAAGAAGGGGTGATGCTATGGCACGCTGACGGGACGGCCTGCGCACCATGAGTTGCCTGGGGCCGCTGTGTGTCGAGTGCGTCAAGTGCGGTTAACTCCTCATGAGTATTTACTCGTCTAACCAAGGTCTCTCCTGTTCAATCTCAGGGAGCAAAGGCTTTACTATCCGTACCTTCCTGATTGCTTCTTGCAGGAGGATTTCCATTACGTAGTATCCGCACCAAAACTGAGCTATGAACAAGCTGCAAGGCCAACAGTCTGGGGGCACGAATTCGTTATATGAAACCCTGTGCTTTGAACATTGTAGGTAATGTCTCACCGGCACACGTAATTGTGATGACGATTTGGCGATTGGCTTTGCGCAGCTTGGCTACAACTGTGAAGAATGTTGGGCAGTTGGGTGGCACTGGAGGCACGGCCATCTCGCGCAGCCAAATGCTGCCAACACATCTTTCTGGGTATCACAGCTTCTATGATGCGTGACACAGGCGCAGAACTTCTCTGGAAGTCTCTAGGAAAATAACGCGACACCAGCTTCTGCAATGATTTTTGGGCCGAAAGGGCATTAAACAGCTGGTTGACCTTGGCGGGGTCATCTGGGTCCCCGCTGACGGCCGTCCATGCATAGGAGCCTCTGAAAGACGCTCGCCTGAGTTCGCATGATCTCTCTTCAAAACTGAACTGTGGCCTAGCCCTTACGTGGGATTCCTACTGGCCAGAGAACAAAGCAGAAGCCATTCTTTACTCTCCCGGAAGTGGCTAGCTCATCGGTGCAGCCACCCGCAAGCGCTGGGTCGAGGTCCCTGTTTTGCGTTGGCAGTCGGGTACGCTGCTTCTCCACTGTGCGACAATAGAGGATGCAGTCCTTCGGTCAACTTTCGACATTTTTCGACACACCACGAGTGGAGGAGCAAAAGAAACGACATCAGAATGCTTAACCAAGTCAAGCTTCTGAGACCAAACGGAACATATCCATGAATGGATAGGAGCACAAAACCCCGGCCAGCAAGCACATGCCAGAGGTCAGAAAGGGTAGCGCTATGAAGCCCTCACTCATGGGATCGCTGTAGTAGGCATCCTGATTTAAGACCAGCTGGGCGACGTTGTATGAGACAAGCGCGAAGGTAGCAATACCCGCCAGCTCGAAGATCCAAGTTGCACCTTCAAGGATATGCCCCACTCCACCTGAGACATCATGTTTCACTTGTCCCTGATTGATTCTTATTATCCGCAATTGTGAAAACATGTGAAACATTGCTAGGTGGGTTTATGCCATCTTATGCCGCGCGATGCCTTCTTCATTGACAATGGCGGTGGAATGCTTCACGGCATCACACCAGCTATTGGCCTGGAGGACTACGTCATACAGTGAGTGAGAGGAGAGGCCTTCACAGTTGTCGTAAAAGCAATCCTCCACCCAACCAAAGCAAATCCGGAGGAGAAAGCCCACAGGGTTGCTTTCCCAGCGCATCACGCCCGTCAATACTTTCAGGGGAAATCGGACTGGCGCGACAAGTTTGGTCACCAATCCGGCAAATAAGCAGCTGCCCAAGTGATAACGGATTGCCACCCAGTATCCTCTGGCAATCGACGGTCCCGGCCCTCCGTGACTACTCATACCACCTTGGAAGAACCAGGTCTGAACAGCATAGATCAGCGCTATATTGTTCACCTGCTGCACGATCCCAATGTGCCACATAAGCATGAGAACTACCACGACTGAGCATCCCCAACTGCCGAGCAAATCCATGAGCTTTTCCAGTGGGGAGTCCTTGTCTTTTAGAGAATCATCAGGTGGCTTGGACCATATGCAGAAGAGCATGTACGTATGAAACGCCACGACGACGACTTCGCTGACCGCTCGCAGGAAAGGTGCGCATTTCAGAGAGCCCACTGTTGAGACGCACTTGCCGAACCAGCTCATGCAAATGATGGCCTTCTCTATCTCTGATGAAGCGCTGCAGATGCAGTAAAGCAGAAGCAACGACATTGCCAAAAGGCACCAGCTCAAAACTTCGGCGCCACCGGGCTCGAAGGCCGGGCCGCAAGTACCAGTTTTGTGACAATAGAACATGTGCATACTGACTCCAAAGGGCAGTAGAATGATCGCGAAAAGCCCGGTCCAAATAATCCTTGCATGCAAAGGCAGTGGAGCCAACTTGTGACCCGTACACCTCACTACCGTGGCCCTGTGCTAAAGTGCTGGAGCGAAAAGCTTTGTGCGATTAGGGGTCTGCTTGGCGTAGCGTGCGACAATGATTACGTACGCTATGGCCAGGAACAAGGCGCTGACACCGATGGAGACGACCAGAACCCAGGATCGCGCGAGCAGCATTGCAATCCCGTAGAGGAATCTGTGCTCAAAGTAATAGTCCATGATGGACCTGTCCAAGCAAGGTTTTTTGTCTTATTCTGCCTTTGGAAGGTATCTGAGAGGAGGTGGCCCTCAAGCTGTAGTAAAAAAAGGGGCAGTACGGACCTGCCTGAAAATGGCATTGCCTGCTGTGCCCTTGGTCGGCTCGCAAATACCTGATAGCTTGAGCGCAATGTTTCTTGTTGCAAAGCACCTAGCCCGCCTCAGATCAGAATTATCAGCATCTCTAACTAGTCTGGCCGGGTTTCCTTGGATTGGACGTGTTTGATACGTCTTCACCAACTGGAAGGTATTGTTGCCAACCTTAACAACAAGGACATTGTATGGTTAGGGCCGTCGGGATACGAAAGCTTGGGTGCAGCGGTGCTACTTTGACTTTACAACAAACTGCTGATTCAGCGGTCGCGACATAGCAGCTCATAGTTCCGGCCCAGCTATCTGGACATTTCTCCACGCAGATCGGATACTTGGTATTCACTTGCCTCAGTGTATCACTTGAAAGGGAGCTGGTGGTTTGATAAACTGCGCAAACTGCATGACTAGATTAGTCCAGGCACTTCTCATCCATCAGGTATGCTTTCTCAAAGTATGAGTCTAAGCAGAAGAACAGGTATGGCTGGCCCACATTGTCTCCAATGCCACATTGCTGAAACCTGTAGTCTCGTGCCACCCAAACCTCAGCGGCTAGCAGCCAAAAGGCTTGGAGGGCTTATTCAGCAAAATGTGGCGAGTTTGCTGCAAAAGCCGAGTACTTCCTAGAAGGGTGCCCCATCCAGCATCAGTATCCCTGCCAAGAAGCACGCTGAGCGACCAGATTGTGATTAATACCAACATAGCAGATGGCTACAAACACAGCGGCCGCCACGACATAGATGAGGAGGCAAAACGTGTCTTGGCAGCTCCTGGGTACCGTCTCAGGGTAGAAGCCCCTATCCTCGTCATCCCAAAAGTTGACGATGGGCTTGGTCACCTGATGTCCGTATCCATACTCATCCAGTTCATCGCTGCTTCCCTCCTCCAGCTCATCCTGAGTGCCCATATAACCGTAAAACTTCTCTCCACATGAACTGTGGGCCTTGAATAAACTCACATGAGAAACAATTCCCAAAGCAACTCAGGCCTCATCAAATGTTTCTGCTACCGGGATCTCACGGCCAGATGCCATGCGCCCTGTTTGACTTGGAGTAGCAGGGCCTGAAAATGGGTTCTTAGGAAGCTTGTAGTTTCTGCTGACCATGCGGTCTGTGGATAACCCCTCCGTGGATAACCCCGCAGCCCCAGTTACCTGCGAGACAGAGCTGAGGTTCGAAACAATCTTGCGGTTAGAGAACTTGGAGCTTGTGTGGGTGTGCTTGGTGCTTGGCTGCTGCAACTTTTTGGCATCTTAAAACCAGAGCCAAATGGCTAGTTTGGTTCTTCTCATGCAGGCGCTGAAGCAGACCGAACAATCAGATGCTAGACACACTAACAGCAACCAGGACCAACTACAGCGCATCATATCGACCCTGACTCCCTCTGCGATGATGATAATGATGATGATAATCTCCACACACCTTTGAAACCACATGAGCCATCATCTAAACTCCTGGTCCTAGTATCCCCCTTAGCAACCCCCATAATAGTCCCCTATATATGATCCCCTGAACAACTCCCCTCTAAGGAGTTAGACAGTAGCTCACATGGCTGGATGATGCGACTGCTCAGATCTGCACCTTCGACTTTGCCTCGGATCACAGGGCACACAGGGCTCCGAAGCCGCAGCTGGCATCCCAAATGCAAGCTCACCTGCAACTACCTCAAACCACTTCATGGAGGCTTGAATGCTTCACTTGAGAGTGCAGCTGAAGCAGGGCTTGTGGTTCCGTGAGCAGTAATGTGCTTTCTGCTTAATTGGGCCTTCAAACTAAATGTGGCATACCGCGAGTCCAGTGTAAAGTGAGGCATTTCATCGGAAAACGAGCACCTGCATAGCATGGCATAATGCAGGCTTTTCCGTCATATCAAATGCCCATTAAAGGTATATCCCCAAATTCTGATTTAATGTGGCGAGACCTTAATATATTGGGGGGTCCCCTCCCAGTTTGGAATTCCAGCTTTCGCCAAGCCGCGCGGTGATTCCCGGAGCTTTTTCTCGCGGATGACTGCGCCGGTGTCTGGGCTGAAGGTCCTCAAAGTATCCTATACCAAAGTCGGAACCTCATGACTTTTCTTCCGATGTTCATTTCCGGAATGAATTTGAGGGGCTGTAGCTTCAGCGAAGATATAGAGGCTTTCGAGAAACTTCAAAAATATGTCTCATCCGGGCTGTGTAATGAAGCCAGGGGATCTCCACTTCTGAGTTGCACCTGAAGTCTCTGGGCCTTTGAGAGTTCGTAAGCACGTGCAAGCTGACGATGTGCTAGCTCTCTGCAAGGCTATTCGGAACATTGCCTGCGATGGGAAGAATACTGTAAGATCACACGGGCGCGAAAAACTACAACATGTGGACCCCGAAATCTAGACCCCGTTCTTCCATTTGCATGCATGGACCAAAATGAAGAAGACCTTGAGAATCCTTCATGGTACCTCCCTTCCCAACTTTTATCCAAACCACCCAAACTCGAAATGCTCAAGTCCAACTCCTTAAACTCCACAACCCCAAACCCATGAACAACAAGTCTGGCTCTCAGGCAAGGCACACGCTGCTCCGCCCTCCAGATTCGAAATCTACCACTGCGAGGCTCAGGTTGTCCTCAGCCATGGATTACATGTTATGGGGTGTCCCAAAATGTTGGGTTCCTTTTTTGGGGGGTCCCCATAATAAGGATTTAGCATTTTGAGGTCTCTATTGGGGTCCGCATAATATTTTTAGAAAGTACCACATGTTGCGGGATTAGGGGTTTTACCACTTGCATGCATGTGGCAGCAAGGATTAGGGCTAAGGGCTGCACATGAAGCATCTGGGGCTTGCATGGTGGGGCAGCAATGGGAGTTTAGGGGGCCCCTTAACATGTGGGAATGCATTGTGGTGTCCTTGTACTCCGGATTTTGGTTTGATCGGACCTTTTTTGCTTTCGAGTAATGTTCATGCAGGGTTGCATTTATGTTGGCTCCGCTTGGTTGGACTTTAGGGATGCACAAAGTTTGCGTGGGCACGATGAATGCACGAAGTACAGGTTGAGGTTGAAAGTGTCTTCAGCGACTGTGGCAGTTGTGACGAGAAAACTCGCTACCCTTGAAGGTGTACATTCTGATAAAACATGCTCGTCAAAATCTTCACTTTGAGAGGAGGTGATCAACATAACCATACTGCCCTCTCGCATGCTTGCAACATGGCCCACCATGCATCAAGTTTCTATGCAGACCGCTTGGCTGACTTCAAGCTCAAAGCGCAAGGATCTCAAAGATTTTCAGGCCACGGCCAAACGCGAACAAGAGAGCCCGGGCCCCCCAAAGATTGACTTCAGAACCAAAACAGAACTATAACTGAGAGAGATACCTCGGCTATGACACAAAATGTCCCCCCTCGTGTCTGCTGCACAACATCGCTTGGGGCTTGAACTACTAGTATCCCCGGTTTTAAGCCCTATCAGTCCCATGTAGAATCCCTATAGCCCCGCTTTAAGGAGTCTAGACTATAGCTCATACGGGACTTGGTGATAACATGTGCCTGGACGGTCTCCTTGCGCGTGCACGAAGTAAGACGCCAAGCTTCCACGTGCAAAGCCCTCACTTCGTCTGGGGGATGCGGTAAACTTCCATGCTCAACCCATTGAAGCCTGCATGGCAGCCTGCACCATGATCTGCCAAACTGAGGCTTGGCCCAAATCAGTACCGTCCAAGATTCCGGATTAGCCAGCACCTCTACCTCCAAATAGACCTGAGCGAGGCCAGTAACTCTTCTTTGATTGCGCTTGCTCAGGTGTTGGATACTGCAAATCCTGTACACCAACGCCTAGAGTCCCCCTTAAGTAGATAGAATCTGTTTCTTTTGGGGGATCTTGTTATAAGATACCCAAAGCCATATTCTATCTACTTAAGGGGGTCTATACACCCTGAGCCCTAGACAAGCACATCTGAGGTCTCAGCTCCTCTCTGATTTTCTTCGGTCAACAGGTCAGACCGGATCCGGCACTTGCCTAAGTGGAAGTTGCCCAGAAGTACAAATAGCTTTTTGTTAAGGTTGTCCTCTTTCAAGGACTAGCTTTGCACATTATTCTGAGGCCAGGTAGGGGGTCCCTGATTCTGAGAAAGGCCCAAGCAAATCCTGTGCCACATCCTTATCGTGATAGCCCAATTCACTCCCCCACACCCCAGAAATGTACAAAACCGTGAAGCTGCAGCCTGACCACAGTAGGCCACATCGTCTGGATTTCGAATAGACTTGATCCTTGGAGGCTGCCGGGCGAAAAGACTGCGAGCATCTCTCTCTATGTGTGACATGTCTTCAATTCGGTATTGATGTTTTCATAGCTTGGAATAGCTTGCAACAGGCTGATCTACCTGCGGCCAGAGTGCTGGCCGCCGCGGAAAGGTTCACGAAAGGTTGGCACCTTCCCAGCTATGAAGCTCAGGCATGTTCTGAACACCCGCCCTGCAGGCCTCGTTTTTGAAGTGCAAGAATCGGCCTTTCCAATCCACGCGGGCCTGGATCCAGGAGCATGATGGAGTGGTTTGACTACAAGCACGCAGAAGATCGCATAGATTCAGAGTGCGAGCTCCAGACCTTCTATCTTCAAAGCCTTGCAAGGAAAGGACGCCTGAACCAGAACAACCTGTCATCTCGTATACAGGAAGAAATTCCATGCCAAGCTGCATGCTTTCTGCCGCTCTCGGCGGGTGTCACCGCCATCTGGCAAAGGCTGGGAAAGAAGGCTAGGTGAATGCTTGCTGAGCAACATTGCGATCTTGCCACATGCAGCATGCCGCACGAGCCCGGGTTTGGCCAGTCACAAAGCAGCACAGTTAAGAGTTGGCCATGTAATAGTGACTCAGCTTTCAGACAAGCAGTTACTACCAAAAAAGGGTACCGAAGTCATAAGACATGCCATTAATATCAACTCAAGCATTGCAGTTAGAACCAAGTGTGTTTGCGCTCCGCCTCCTCTGCGGACTCATAGATACCCTCGCGCTCTAACTCCATGCCGTAGAAAGTTCCTCAGCTTTGTGGTTTTACATGCCGACAATGCGGATGCGGGCCATGCGGGTACATTGCTTTCGAGTTGCGGCTGCCCAGGGCCCTCCAAGGCCCAGAGTCCTGGCTGTGCAGGCTCTGCACAGATTTTGGGTGCTGGGACTTGCTGTGAACTCCTACAATGCTTTCAAATCTTTACGAAACAGAGCCTGCTCCCAACTCTTTCTCAAAGGGCACTAGTAGTTCATGACGAAGGCTGGGGTGAACTTCATGGTGATACCCCAGGCCAGGAGGCCTTTCCACTCCTCATGTTTTACAAGCCGTGAAGTTCCCCAATCAAGATCTCCTGATGGCTAGCAGACAAGGCGCGATCGCAAGATCTGGCGTGGGGATGTACTACAATGATGATGCTGAATTGCATCAAGTACGCAGGGTGCTACCACTTACTAGTTGTGCAACAGTTTCTATATCAATGATGACAATTGCTGCTGCTGCTGCTGCCTCTGCTGCTGCCGCACTGCCCCTCCCATGGCTTTAGTTTGACCACTGTGTGCGAAGCATGTCCCGGTTCAGGGCTCGCAGCAGTCGGCATGTAGCGTCCGAGCTGCACCTTGGGTAAAAGTCTCTTGGGTGGAAATTTGAAATGCTTGTCTTCCCAGCTGTTCAGCAGTCCTTATGCGCACAGTGGGTGCCTCTGACCCGAATTTCCAGCGTTGGGCAAGATACCACGCAAGCGAGCATGGACATGCCCTGGATGATACTTGTGCTTTCCCTATCTGTATTCCACTTGGGATCCCATGAAGGGAGCATGTTGGCATTAGACAAGGAGCAGCGTGCTGGAGTCCAGCATCATCCTGGGCAGTGTGAATGCAGGGATGCAAACCTGTAACCTTCAGTTAACTCCTGCTCAATCCAATTCGCCTTATTCCTCCTCTAGCTGATGTTTCGACTATCGTGCTCGGGATGACGTGGGGAGCATGGTAGGGTTGAAGAGAGGGGTGGTCTGCCAATCAGCGAAGTCATGCTATCCGTCGCAAAGTGCGGGAGCTAGG